AGGATATTACAAGAATCCCAAGTTTTAAAGATCTCAGTGCAAATATCAGGTTGGATGGTTTTTTTATGCACAGTTCAAGTACTATATAAGTCCTATTTCATCCCAATCGAATTTGAAACCCTAAAATTCAAATTCAATTCTTAGTCTTCTCTCTACAACTCTTTCTCTCTCTTTTCTTCTCTGCCTTCTCTTTCCAAACGTTGTCGACTGTTCAAACTTCAGCGACCGACGGTAAAGGAGCTGCACTGATGACCCATTCTCTTCTCTCTTTTCTACATGCTCTGTCATCGTTCCCATCTATATATCTTCTCTCTTCACTTTAACCTAGGGTAAATTTCCTTCGTTAATAATTAGGATTTCCCTTTCTATCACTTCCTATGTATTCAATTTCAATAAGTAGGCGAAAACTATGGCAGTTTTGTATTTGATTTGTTGGTAGATCTTGTGGTGGTTGAAAATGGTGGTGATGCGGATGGAGGTTGATTTTTGGGCGAAGCGATCTGGTGGTTATTTTTGGAATTCTTTGGTTTTTGATTCGATAGTTGTGTCGCTGTCGCCGATGGTGGAGTTTGCGGCGCGATTGTGTGGATGTGATGCGAATTTTGTGTTCGACTGTTTGTGGAAGCCGATTGTGTTAGTGCAATGTGGGTGGTGGTGTTATTACAGTTGGTGGTGTTTACTAGCGGTGGTGGTGCGTTGTGGATGTGGTGTGGTGTGCGATGGTGGTGGTGGTTGTGGTGGTGCAAGTTGGTGGTTTGGGTTGATTGTCTATGTTTTTTTTTTTTTTTTTTTTTTTTTTTTTTTTTTGGGCGATGGACTGTAACATTAAAATTTGATGATCTGTGATTAAAAAATAATCTGTGACGATAAAATTTGATAATTTGTGACTAAAAAATGATCTGTGGCCTTTTCGATTTGTGACCTACAAAATTTTTGATTTGCGACCAATTATTTGACAATATGTGACCAGTAAATAAATTTGTGGCTTATAATTATGAATCTGTGACCATTAATTTTTTAATTGTGACTTTATTATATATATATTCAATAAATATTTTTAATTAATTAAATACATATCTAAATTTTGAATTTTTAAACTATTTACCTGATTTTTGAAACAGTGTAAAGAATACACCAGATATATGAATTTTTCCCAAAGAAATATGGACTTTAACTTGGATCTGGTCTAGAGTTGGCATGGGCCTATATACCTTTAAAAGAGCTGTTTATTTTCTAGTTAATTGGATTAGGCAAAGATAGATAGCCTCAAAGTAAACTTTTGGGGATTCAAAGGAACAAATTTTAGGGTAACAAAAAATCATATATTAGGGATTAAGTATAGACCAACTCAATTTAAAGAGAATGAGTTTAAAAATCCAAAAATCTGGTGTGATAATTCACAATTTTTATTTTAAATAATAATATTATCAAGTTAAAATAATATATCCCCACCAAACTCCTGCCTGCCTCTACCCCCACCTCTGCACACCTCGTCCATCGCCAGCCTCTCTTACGATAATCAATATCACATGTCGTGGGAATCCACCCATCAACATCCACCAAAACAGTTACTGGCATCCAAATAACTTCGTTAGAGGAAAGATAGAATATACTGATATTGTAGGTGACTTCTTCAGCAATGACAGAGCATCATCGACTCAAATAGTAGAAATAAAGGGAGAAAAAAATAGCGAACGTTGGAGAACATCAACTGAGCATCTCTGATGATTAAGTAGTGGTGTTGTAAATTTATTTTTTTTTTAAATTGAAAATTGAAAAATAGCCTCTGGTATAATTTAGAAAGTACTAATTGTAGCAAATAACTTTAATTCTCACTGTTGAAATCTAGTTAATTAAATATGTGACCAGTTCGAAGAGCCGAGTTCATAGAAATTAATGGCATATGCAGGGGCGGACCCAGAGTTTTTGTGTTGCGGGGTTGAAAATTAAAATAGAACTTTTTTTTTAGAAACTTCATAATATTAATGAAAATGTTAATACGTATTTTAATAAATTGAAAGCGTGGTATACTTACATTATTATCAATATTATTAAATGAATTTTGTTACTTGTAGAATTTTGTTTACCATTTCTCAGAGCTAACGACGAGTAAATCAAATTGAATGTAGAAAGTGAATAAATTGAAATAAAATCCAAATTTAATCCCAGGAGTAAATGAAATTAAAATTTAAAGCAAATATAATTTGAAATAAATTCAATTTACATTTAGCTCATAACGATTCTAAAATTTTTGACATCATATTCCATGTAAAATTTTCTAATAAAATAATGTAAATTATTTCGAAAAATCTATCATGCAAAAATAATTAACATTAATGAAATAATAAATTTTTTAAAAGAAAAAGAGTTAGATGTCTCTTTTTGAGATGTACGTTTGATGTATATTTAATTATTTCGATATCGGTTTGGACCATTCGATATGACTATGATATAGTTCTTAAAATGAGCTTTCAGATGACATAAATGATTTGTGGATTCGAATATCATATGATCAATGATTTAAATTGTTAGCATTGATCAAAATTTTCGATAAACTAATTTGAAATGACCTACTTTGACGTGTTGTAACTTTTGCTATGGTCGACCATTTCACACCATTAATGAGCGAAAATCTAGGCCTTGAGCACTTCAAAATGTAATTAAGAATACAATAGTTCGATTTTATTTGACATCCCGTAACAAGTGCGTTAAAGTACGTTGTAAAGGGATTAAAACAACTATTTTTTGGGAAAAAAATCCAAAAAATTTGTGGGATCATTCGACCTTACATGACCACAAGTGGGTCCACCCTTGGGCATGTGATTAGATCTGTTAAATTTTTAACCTCTGACCTATGTGAACAATTAAATTGATTTGTGGCTAATTTTAATTGATTTATGATTTGTCGACATTGATCCGTCACTTACTCATAGTGATCTGTGACTTGTGGACATCGATATATGACCTACGCAGGATGATCCCTAATTTGTGAACAAATTTTCAGTTATCACAACCTTACTAGCACCAGCACCACAATATGCAAACCACAAACAGCCAGCTCTACCATTATAACAATCCACCACAAGCATCACTATAACACTCCACCTCAACCACCACTATCGCACTACCACCACCAATACCAACAAGCCAACCACCAAAATAACCAAGCAAATCACAGCCAAAAAAACCAACCAAAAAAATCAATTCGGCCATTTCATCACCACTACGCACTGAGATCCAGTCACTATCATCACATACAAAGATCTAGTCACTACTATCATTGGCATCACATATGGTCGAAAGCATCAAGTAGTGGTTGTCAGTCGCAACACACCCAAGCATAATTGGCACTGTGAGCACACTGGCTGCTTCGTTCTGACGCTTTGCCACCATACGCTGTGATGTCGATCAACGCTGCACCGTTGAGCATTGTGACAAAGCGCGGGAACGAAGCTTCTTGTGAGTGTGAAAAGGTAACAGGGAGCGCCAACACTGACCGTTTCTTTTAGGAAATTTCACGTCAACTGTGCCACTGAACTGACGACTGAGGAAAGGGAGACGACAAATGAAGAGAGAGAGAGAGAGAGAGAGAGAGAGAGAGAGAGAGATGTTTTGAAATTGAAAATGAAGTGGGTATGGGGGTGAGGTTGAATTGTATATTAATTATAATATCAATTAATCACCTGAATTGTGAATAAATAAACCTCATCTCTGATTTATGAAATGTGATCTTCAAATACATGTTGGGGGTGAAATTTCTACTTCAAATTTTTGTACTAAAGACAAAGTTTTCAGGCATGCAAGTACATAAGGCTTTATGAGTTTCAAAGAGAATCGAAGGGGTCGACATGGACTTTGTTGTAGGGGACTTTAAGTGGGTGATTTCTTCAAAAGATCGATTTTATCCACATGAAATAATAATTCAGGGGCAGATTCCTCCTTTGTTTTTGGGTGGTAAAAGATTCCATATTTAGGTGATAGTATGTCGAAGGAAGGTGAGGCAATCGATTTGAGGAACAATCTTTCGATCATATTGCGAATGATACATTTGTGAAAGGGCCTCTTGCCATGGTTGAATACATGCGAGCAAATTTCATTATTATTCCGTCATTGAGAGGTTCATTACATGTGAATTATATCAATTAAATCCAGTAATATCTTGTTTTTATTGTTTCCTTTAAGTTACATTTCTTACCTTATTGTGCACAAAGAGTTGCTTATACTCAATATATAATTATTCTTTATTGTAATACAAATTGTCTTGAATAAAAAATATTAGGTATTGGGAGTTCTTCTCAAATTTATCAAAATTTTGGTATTCTTCGGAACCAATGAACTTTTGATTCCCATATCCTTGGCATTCTAACGAATCAATGAGGGCTTTGTAGTTCTTTTATCCATATCTATGCATCTACTTACATCTATGTGGGAATGTATGACGAATAGTGGTAGTATGATAATGAAAGTTGACAATAGATTACATAAGCTACTTGGGGTGAAATTGTTATCGGATAGTGCTTCGAAAGGTTATAAAATGAAAAATAAAGTGTTCTCAATTATCTATGCAATACCCAATATTCAAAATTCTTCGTATTGTGCACATATCAACGAGTACTTGATGTTTAGTTTGAGTAAATCAACTGAAAGTAGAAGATTATTCACGAATTGTAAGTTTTCACGTTTTGTCGATGCAAACGTGCATACAAATGGGGGAAAGGGAATAGGAATCAACAATTCGATACAAGGTATCCAATGGCTATTCAGGTTTTGATAAAAATAAATTATTAATTCTAGTTCTACTAAAAGAGAAATACAACACAAAAATATTCCAATCAAATGATTAATTCTAATTTATGTTTATGTATAGATTGAATGATGAATGATTTTTATTTTTTATACTCTACAGTTTCTGAATTTGTATAACTAAATGACATTATATGCCAGAATTCACCTTTTCAGCTTCTTTCAGCCATTAGCCATCGCAGTAAAGATCCTATAGATAAATAAGAAAGCTAGCCAAATAAGTTATTAATTTATACACTTGATTTGGTGTGAAATATGTTTGAACAAAATTCGCTGAAACTCTCCATTGCAAGGTTAGATTAACTATGTCATTCTTAAATTTGGAATGAGCATCTACTCGATGACAATTTCTGATAGGCTTTCTCCTAATGTACATCCATAGTGCCCACTCTTGACACAGCAATCCTTCCTAAAGCTGTCGCAACATTCACCTTTACATTTGTTAGCCAAAGCCGAACAAGAGTTGATTGTCGAATGCACGTGTTGATACCCTCCTGCAACGTGCTTTTCACTTCCCAAATGGGCCTCCTCATCTCGATGTGTATGTGTACAACATTTTTTCTCTGGGATGCCTTTTTTTTTGTCACATAAGTTATCTTTTTGGGTATTTACACAATGGTTTTCCAGGCAATAGTTTCCTGGATTTTTGCGATCATCAGATTTGATTGATTGCAATGTACTCTTACATGTTGGGATACTATGGTTGCAATGATCACAGTGTCTGTCGTGTAGCCCATTGTTAGATATACAAATGTTGGTCATTGGAGTTGATTTTGCACAATTAGTATCCTCTCTGCACCTTAAATGTGCACAACGATTATGGGCGCTCCGTGGTTCCAAACGTTGAGCAACTTTATGATCACAACACTTATGATCCATATCTCGTTCCTCGTTGAGTGGATTATACTGTTTAGAGAAACGGTGCTTGTCAGCAGAGTTCGAGCATTTCCTGCTTTCACACTTCTTGGACGAGCATGTTTGAGCCTCACACTTCTGTTGTGATTCATCAGAACAAGAAGGCTTATGATTATGAGAAGAGCAGTCGCTTGTAGTTTTGCATTTATGTTTGTGGACATGTGGCTGGCAACATTTTTTCCCGCGTCTTGTCTTTCCTAGTAGCAACATACTATTAAAGATAACTAACAAGCATGTCCCGACGTCTGTAAGAACTGCAGCCCAAACTAATGGATGACCAGCTATGGCCAATCCTAATATTGCAGCCTTGGTTGTAATTGCTATTATCACATTCTCAATGACTTTTCTTAGGACCTTCCGGGCAATATGTGCAGCTTTTGGTATCTTCGAAATGTCATTGGACATAAGAACTACGTGTCCTGCTTCTGTTGCAAGTGCGGAGCCTGAAACACCCATTGAGATACCGATATTCGCGGTAGCTAATGCAGGAGCATCATTCACACCATCACCGATCATGGCTGTTGGACCTTCATTCTGGAGCTCTTTAATAATTCTTGCTTTATCTTCTGGAAGTAGTTCTGCATGAACAATTTCTAAAGCACCCCCTAACTGTAGGAAAATGCATTCCATTAGTTCATCTAGTTCAACAGAAGGAATTCCCAAGCATTGTATTATGTCTTGTGCTTAGGCTTTTTTTTATATACTCCATGTGCATTGAAATTTAGTACATGAAATAACAATAAAAATAAAAAATTTCATAAACAAAATTTAGCACCCTTTTACGATGCATCAGGTAAGAAAACTAAAAAATAATAAAATTTACGAACTAGTCGTCTCATTCTTCAAAAGCACTGAAATAAATCTCAGTTTCTATATATATATATATATATATGAGCCCCTTTTGTGATATAAACGTGTGTTGCAATTGAATTATTAGGAAAGAGAGGTTGAGTGTTGAACCGTTGCTTCCTTCCTTCTCTATTCCTTTGCGGTTAATTGCATCCACCATATTATCCTTTATGAGTAGAGGGCAACCACGGTGAGTAGTTTGGATTTGGGTTGAGCCTTTGATTATTAGTGTTTGATTCTGTTTATTGAGAAACTAAACCCGGATACCCGATTCAAAATTCTTGGTGTATAATTTATGCAACACAATGTGTTATTTATATGCAAACCTTGTAACTTGCTCTTGACTCTAGCCATTTTGCTATTGTAAACAAAAAGACAATTGTGCCAGCTTCCCAATAATCCTTGAGAGCAATTGATCCAGCAACTGCAAGGCATTAAATAATTCATCAAGAAACTTGATGGCAAATGGCACCCCAAATTAACCAACTAGATATGTGATAAGTAAATCAAAATTAACATGGCGTGAATGTTTTCTAGTGTGCAAGCGTATATGAGATTAGGTACCTGCAATGACCACGAGGATGTTGATGTCAAGTGTGAGATTGCGCATTGATGCAACAGCCCTTAACCCAATTGGTATGATTCCAATTGCAACTGCTACAAGAGCTAACCATTCCAAGGGCCTGTAAATATACTTCAGAAATGACAGTAAAAGCAAGGCACCACAAAGTAGTGCATATGGGCTTGGCCATTTGTTCTGGTAATTTTTCTTTCCATATGCTCTAATATTTGCTTCCAATCTTGCTTGGTTCAATGCCTTAACTGTCCATCAACAACACCAAACAAAATAGGAAATTCCATGTCACACTTTGTATTATTTTTAGTATTGCGTACCAAATGTATACTTTAATATCGTCATTTTCTAAATATGCAAATTTCAGTGGCAAATTGCTATAAATATATGAGCATATGGTCATGGGATCAGCAAACTCCTCTGCTCATGTGGCACAGCAAGATTGGTAACTGCTGATTTAAGACCAAATTACTAGAAAGTGCACAAACGGTGTTTGTCATGCAGATATGGTTGCAAGGTCCCTACCAAAAGTATTAAGTTAGTAAAATTAAATAATTTACCTGGTGTGTAGTATTTGGAGCACTTGTCTATAAATCTTTGGATTCTCGATTTGTTGTTTTGAGCCTCTTCTACAAGCTTTGCCATTCTAGCCACCACGCAATCTTCAGCTATAGCCGTAGTTTTAACACTAATGTAGCCTAATGCCCACAACAAGATGATCAATAGCTAGTCGTCAATCAGCAATTGAAAAAAATGTAAGTTCCACAAACTACCGTTAAGATTGATTGTGCTAGCCCAAACAACCGAATCCTTTTGTTTAGATGCAGGAAATGATTCTCCAGTCAGAATTTTCTCATCTACTTCACAGTTTCCATCTACGATGACTCCATCAATGGGGATAATTTCACCAGCCTTAACAGCAAGAATGGTGTTCAACTTGACTTCATCAGCATTGATTTCTTCTCCCGTGTCAGCAAGGACAGCTCTTTGCGGTACTACATTGACCAACGATGACATGACAGCAGTTGCCTACATTGTTATCGAAAAATATGGTCATTAGAACACAAAATACATTCATTTGTATTGTTCCTAGATCAGTTATTGTCAAATTCATTAAAAGCTGGTTCATTTTTCTTTCGAATATCTTCTTTGTCAAGAAAAAAAAGGAAAAAAAGCTCAAATGCATATATACAATATGTTGGGTTTTGATTATCCAATAAATTTGGACAACGATGTTAAAATGAGTTGGATTAATTATATCAACACAGCAACGCATTGGCTCGACCCAAAAATAAATTAGGCCACTTGAAGAAGCTATTAATTTATGTTACTCATGGTCTGTTCATTAGTTTGACGAAAATTTTAGGTGTTAGCCCACCTAATTTACACGATTTGTTTGGTTTTTGTTCCACAACTTCTTGTTTAAGTCTTGGCTTAATTTGTTATGTCTTGGCCTATGTTTTTTTAACGCTATATATATATATATATATATGAGCCCCTTTTGTGATATAAACGTGTGTTGCAATTGAATTATTAGGAAAGAGAGGTTGAGTGTTGAACCGTTGCTTCCTTCCTTCTCTATTCCTTTGCGGTTAATTGCATCCACCATATTATCCTTTATGAGTAGAGGGCAACCACGGTGAGTAGTTTGGATTTGGGTTGAGCCTTTGATTATTAGTGTTTGATTCTGTTTATTGAGAAACTAAACCCGGATACCCGATTCAAAATTCTTGGTGTATAATTTATGCAACACAATGTGTTATTTATATGCAAACCTTGTAACTTGCTCTTGACTCTAGCCATTTTGCTATTGTAAACAAAAAGACAATTGTGCCAGCTTCCCAATAATCCTTGAGAGCAATTGATCCAGCAACTGCAAGGCATTAAATAATTCATCAAGAAACTTGATGGCAAATGGCACCCCAAATTAACCAACTAGATGTGTGATAAGTAAATCAAAATTAACATGGCGTGAATGTTTTCTAGTGTGCAAGCGTATATGAGATTAGGTACCTGCAATGACCACGAGGATGTTGATGTCAAGTGTGAGATTGCGCATTGATGCAACAGCCCTTAACCCAATTGGTATGATTCCAATTGCAACTGCTACAAGAGCTAACCATTCCAAGGGCCTGTAAATATACTTCAGAAATGACAGTAAAAGCAAGGCACCACAAAGTAGTGCATATGGGCTTGGCCATTTGTTCTGGTAATTTTTCTTTCCATATGCTCTAATATTTGCTTCCAATCTTGCTTGGTTCAATGCCTTAACTGTCCATCAACAACACCAAACAAAATAGGAAATTCCATGTCACACTTTGTATTATTTTTAGTATTGCGTACCAAATGTATACTTTAATATCGTCATTTTCTAAATATGCAAATTTCAGTGGCAAATTGCTATAAATATATGAGCATATGGTCATGGGATCAGCAAACTCCTCTGCTCATGTGGCACGGCAAGATTGGTAACTGCTGATTTAAGACCAAGTTACTAGAAAGTGCACAAACGGTGTTTGTCATGCAGATATGGTTGCAAGGTCCCTATCAAAAGTATATTGTTCTTATATTTTATATTGTGTAGTTGAGCCTATCTTCTTGAACGTTTGATTCGTAGAACGTGATAAAACATAGCAAAGGAAATCACAAAGAGGGGCATTTGTGTCGATTGTTTCAATATGCGCTTTTACGCTATGGCTATGGGAGCCGTCTATCCAAGAAACTAATGTAAGAGGTAGAAGGCAAAGGTTGGTGTCGAAGATGGTATGTATGAGCTACTGTGGGAAGAGGATTGGGGACACCTTAGATGCTTGTCCATCAAGGGGATGGTGCCGCAATTGTGGAGAATTTTTTAGACCCATTAGCGTAGAAGAGTATACAATGTGGAAATTGCACGAAGATGCGAGGCACACTATCCACTACGAGGGTGTTAGCAGATTGAGTGGGAGAGTGAGTTATGGATCAACAAACTCCCCTACCTATGTAGCACGACAAGATTGCTAACCACAATTTAAAGGCCAAATTACCAGAAAGTGCATTAACAGTGTCCATATGGTTGCAAGCTTTCTACTCAGAGTATATTGTGCTTATATCTTATATCATGGCTTGTTGGCTCGGGTGTGTGGGAGGCTAACTTGGTGGACTATGAGCTTGTTTGAGAGTGATTTTGAGAATTGATTTTTTGACCGTTAGGAGAAATGTGGGGTCCACCTGTGAGAGAAGAAGTCAAATATGACGGCTGAAATAGTGAAATAACGGTCAAAAATTCAATTTTTTGGGTGAAAAAATCGAGCACAAACAGGCCCTATGAGAACCTGGAGCCAGACAGTCGTTCCGTTATAATAATATGCTCTTTTTTTAAAAAGTCAACGTTTAAAATAAGTTTCACGAGAGATTATATTTTAGCTTTTTAAAATTGAAAATTGTTAGAGTCAAACCTATTATCTATTATTACTTTATAATGATTACATTCAGGCCCCGATTGATCCACATTCTTTCAAAAAATACATTCTTAAATAATAATTTGACATTATTTCAATCACACATTCTTCAATAAAATAATATTACACGCAAATTCAAAAAAATTTCTTATTTTTTAATTATATATTTTTTATCAATAAACTATTCAAAAATGCATTCTTACTAAAATAATGTGGCTCAAACAAGGGCACAATAAGCTACAAATTTCAATCCTCTCCTTGTGAAATCATTTCAATTAATATTTAAATTGATTGGTTATTCACATATAAAGAAGTCATGTTGAATAAAAGATGAGAAATAAATAAACGATTTTTTTGGAAAAAATAAAATAAAATGAAGAGTTAAAATGAAGAGCACTTTTGAAATGGAGTCTCTAAATTTATAAATGTTTTCAATTATGCATATGATGATATTATCAACAGAGAATCTCTTTAAAATGTTTTAGCAACAATGATTTTTATCAAGTTTCCCACCACCAAAACTTGCAAAAATTGAAATCTCGATTAAGAGAGGGAAAAAGGAGCATCCTTAGTCATATCCTGCCCAAAAGACAACACAAGAATTAAATGAGTATGACCATCCTGAAGAAGGATTTTCATTTTTCTTTTCCTTTTCATGCCAACAACCAAAAAAAAATAAAAACTAAATAAATAAATAAAATTACATGAGTATAGGAATTAATTGTTCCAATGGTCATTAAATTTAGGCCCATGTCTTTGATTAGTTACTGAAATTTAAAATGTCGAGTTTTGGTCACTGAACTTAGGTCTACGTCTTTGACTGCTCACCAAAGTTTAAAATGTTGAGTTTTGATCACTAAACTTTGAAAAATATCGTACAATACTACTAGCATAAATATTGAATTTTAAAAAATATCGAGTTTACGGTGAGTAATGTACAACATTTTTCAAAGTTCAGTTGTCAAAATTCGATATTTTAAATTTCAGTGAACAATTGAAAACATGAATTTAAGTTCAATAAACAAAACTCGACATTTTAAACTTCAGTGACCAATCAAAGAATAGAGTTAAGTTTAATGACCATTGGAACAATTAACTCTGAGTATAGCCATAGTCATGAAGAAGGTTTCACTCTTTTTAAGCCAATTTCTTTAACCGAATGGAAGAACTAAAGTAACGTATACGTACATGATGAGAATTTATTATGACAAATAAAGCACCAATATAGTGGACCAATTAATAATCAAAGATCGCTAATATTATTGCTTGAACCGTCTTTTGGTCATAAATGGTGCTTTTTTCCCCTTTCTTGGCCCTGCTTTAAAGAAAGAGCAAGTAGCTCAACCTAATTGCCGTACAGTTCATGTGCACGAGTTAGAACCCATCAAAATTTACTTCTGTGTTTTTGCCGTATTCCCTTAACCTTCTTCCTAGATGAAGTCTTTAAAAATCTATGAGAAAAAATCTTTCAAATGCAGAAAGATAAAGAAATTTGGTTATTAATGAATTACCGATCTGCAACTGAGTGATCAAGACCGTGTCATGGACGACGATAACTGTTTTAGTCGGAACATTGATTGAAAAATCTTTGACTCCATCCATTGTTTTCAGAATCCTCTCTATAAGAGGAACTTCTGATGAACAGCATAGCCCTAACACATCAAAATAAGATTTTTGAAACTTTGTAGCCGCATCCCCTTCCATTTAACTCTACTTTTATGCGCCTTCTGTATACAAAAAATCAGAAAAAATTGCAACAAATTAATGGATCTATATATTCGCTTATATGTACATAAATAAAAATACATACATACATAGATACATATTTATGACTATCTCTAATGTGTGGTGGGGGTGGAAGTGGAAGGTACCTTATGAGAGCTCTACAGGCTCAAGTTTGAGGGTGGCAAGAAGAGGGCTTGGATATTTAAGAATGCATGCAAAGGATGGACAGAGACTAATGAGCAAATCAGCAGATCAAGTGCAACAGGAGGAGCATTCTCTGAAATAATGTAAAGAAATTTCCTTGGGAAGTATTTTATCCTGTGCAAGAATAATCCTGAGGTTCGGTCATGGACGAGGCATATATATATATAACCAAGAATCAGTAACGTAAAGAACAAATTCAGTTGGAGTCCGCATGTAAAATGCACTATGCGAGATTTATGCGGCAAGATTTCAAGGAACCCTCATTGCTATTGGAATTCAGAAATGACCAAATTATTTCAACAGTGATTGTAAGCTAACTATACAATTTGCTAAAAGAATAGAGCATTGTTATTTATCCCCACTAGTGTTGAGCAACCGTCTAGGTTATAATCACATGACATTAAATAATATATTCATTTCAATGCAAAGTCAAATGACTCATTTAATTAAATCTATTGAATTTCTATAGCCAGTTACATTGATGCTCTATCACTGTTGGTGCTAAATAACATTATTCTTAGAAATATTAGTGCTATACCAATCTAAATAACGTTAAATGATAGAGTCAATAAAAAGTAGAATGAAGTGATTTATTTAATTATACATCTCATCGAATGTCATATTAGGGTCGCGTGTTAACACTATTGGTGCTGCATAATATTACTCTTGCTAAATTAGTTAATTACATTACTCTTCATATAAGATGTTTGTATTTGAATTTTGACCAATAATGTTGCACAAATTTCAACAAATAAAAAAGCATCCCAGTTCATTGAACAATTAGTATTGGACACTAGTAGTGCTTTATGACTTACTTTTTTGAAACATCACTACGAAATTTTGACTGTCTAAATTTTACTACACTACAAGAAAAATGGCATCTGGCAATATATAAATGGCAACATTCACCAATTGTATTTTGCTAAAAGGGGTTTATTGCAACATTCAGCAAATGCATGTTGCCATTGGTTGAGAAAATGAAGATTCAGCAACGTTTTTTGAGTGGTTGTTGCTAATACACCCTTTCACAACGTTCAAAGACCGTTGTTGTTGTTTTTTTTTTTGGGAACGTGCAATGCACATTGCTGTAGATGTTTTAGCAACGTTCTTTGAACGTTGCCACTAATTAGTTTCAGCAACGATCATTGAACGTTGCCGTTAACAAGTTTTGGCAACGGGCAATGCACGTTGCTGTATATTTTTTAGCAACGTTCACCGAACATTGCCGTTGGTTGGTTTTAGCAACATTCACTGAACTTTGCGGTTAAATGTCTTTAGCAACGTTCTTTGAACGTTGTCGTTAATCCCGACATTAAAATATAAATCATACAAAACTTGACTCGGACCCGACCCGTACCCTTTTAGTTTGTAAAAAACCCAATCTAGCCCTATAGTGTCTTCCCTGTCTCTCACTATCACTCCCTCTCCCGCCGCTCGCCGTTCTCACTCTCCCCGCCATCATGAATCTTCCCGCCACCGCGAACTCTCTTCCAAACAGGTAATTGATGCTGGTTCTTCCTCAGTTTCAGACTAAGAATGAAGAACTGTTGGGGACTGATCAGTTCTTGGTTTCGATTCGAAAAAGTTTGATTCTAGTTAAAATTTTAAATTCTATGTGTACCCATTTCAAGTTAATAGTTTCATCTAGATTTTGGAGAATTTTATTGGATATCTAAATTATTTTCCTGATTGCTAATTTTGTGTCTTCTTTTGTCCCTGCAGCAATTAGTGGTCTTGCCATTGCTCGTGATGGTGCTAGTGGTGGTGTTGTTCGGACTGTGACTATAAATTAATTTTATTGTTTATGCATTATATATCCTCCACCTGGTGAATCCCCTGCAGTCTTTGACCAAGAAAGATTTATTGTTAGGCAAGAAAGATTGATTCTCCAAGTTAGCTTATTGGGACTTTTTCTTTCCAAAATATCCCTTGCAGAGACGTCCCTAGATTGAGGAAAAATGAAGTTTCTCTTAACTTGTGCATTTTTAAATAGGGAATAAGGAATGTGGTAGTGAAAAGAGAGCTGAAATTGAGTTGGTAGATTGAGGAAAAATGAAGTTTCTCTTAACTTATGCATCTTTGTCTTTGTTGTATGCATCATATATACATGGATATTCCTTAAACCATTCTATTTATATATGCTGCCTAAGAAGGAATATGGGAACTTGTTCTCGGCATTATGATTTAAAATCTTACAATCAATTTATTGCACAATCATTGAAGTGACCCACTGCCTAAGATAATAGAATGGTTTAAAATTTCAGTTCCAACATTCACACACTAAGTCAGCATGCTTTGGAATATGATGTATACACTTCGTTCGACCTGTAAAAGAATGAATACAGAATGTCTGACTAACGTTATTTTGCCTTCACAGTGTTGTATCTGTTGCAATATATTTACACTCCATCGGGAAGCTCCAGAGATAGTGAAACATTTTAGTTTCTCAGCTTTGTTTGTGTCGGTGTCAAGGATGATAATTTTGCTTTTCATTGTTCATTGATTCTGTACTCTTCATCAATTTATTATAGTTAAAAATATCCTTGGGACTGGACTTAGCATACAACCTGATTTGTTTGACTCTCAACCAAGTTAAGTGATTAGATATATGTCACATAAGATGACTACGATAGTCGTTCACTATGAATAGTATTACACTTTAAAAAATTATTTTGTTAGAATTTTAGTATTTATAAGATATGGGTTTTACGAAAAGTGTAGTTGTGAATTTTACGAAACGTGTGGAGTAAAAGAATGTTTGTTGAGCTTAGATTATAATTTTAATCACTTGGCAAATATGTTATAGTTTTTTGCTTTTCTTTGTCCTTATTAACTCGTAAATGTGTGAAACTTGAGGGAAAATTACAGTCAAATCATTTTCTCAAGATCAAATTGATACTTGTCAATTAACCTAGCCTTCGCATTGTTATATGATTTTGTATTCATTTGATCATAGCTTGGTCCTAATTTTTTTATTGAAATTTTTAGTATAAACTTGAGCAATCCACTCACCCGAAAAACATGACATACATTTTTGTAAAACATTGTTTTATGTAAATTTATAAAAACTTTGGACATTAAACGAGTGTTGTTACAAATTCACAATTTAATTAATTCTAATCTAAATCCTTTGAAAGTTTTAAATTTTGGATCATCTATTTCTTACTGTAAGTTCATTAGTAATTTTAAAATCCCTCTTTATTTGTTTAACATATCTTCACTAGGTGTTTTGGAATTATTATAGCAAGTCGGTCAAGTGAACAAGGGGCCATTTAGTTGATGATGATGCTGGACGAATAGCTGCCTATAATAAACCGAAGCATAGAGCTTTGTGATTGGGCTATAATAGACCGAAACAAGGGGCCATTTAGTTCACAATTTGAATTGTTGCTGTTCAATGTTTGATAGTATTATAATGGACAAAGAATGGCTGCAATTATCAAGGTTACTGTCTGAAACAAAATCTTATAAATCTAGTTTCAAAATTTAACAATAATATAAAATGATCATACAATTGCTGTTGTAGATTTTCAGAACAATACAAAGATGGAGCACGGAAGTTTGTAGAACTAGCTTGTGAGACTCTAAATTTAGAAATAATAGGATGCCCTTGTATCAAGTGTAAGAATCTAAAGCATCACAACTATGAAATAGTATATGAACATTTGATTATTAAGGGTATGGATCCTACGTACACTGATTGGCTATTTCATGGAGAAAAATCAAGTAAATCAAATTTGGTCAATGTAGAAATGCCTGAGTCATGTAGGATGTTTAGGGACTTCTATACGCAACATGATGTAGATTCTGAAAATCCTCATGATGGAACAGAGGAAGACATTCAATGTTTAGTTAGCGATGTGGAAACTCCTTTGTATCCTAGTTGTATGGCGTTTACGAAGATGTCAGCTTCAGTTGCTATGTTTAAACATAAAGCTGCACATGGTTTATCAGATAATGGTTTCAATGAACTCATACATCTTGTGCGGGACATGTTACCACAAAATAATACACTTCCTAACTCATTTTATGAGATGAAAAAACTTATCAACACATTTAATCTTGGCTATGAGAAGATACATGCTTGCTTGAATGATTGTTGTCTATATAGGAAGGAGCTTGAACATGTTGAATTATGTCCAAAATGTGGTTGCTCAAGATGGAAAGTTAACCAACAAACTAAGAAAGTTAAAAAAAAAATTCCAGCAAAAGACTTGCGTTATTTCCTTATCATACCAAGACTTAGAGGATGTTTGGAATAGAAGAGATGGCAAAATAACTTAGATGGCACTCAAATAATAAGAGTTAAGATGGTAAAATGAGGCATTCAGTTGATTCACTGGGATGGGAAATGATAAACAGAAGGTGGCCACATTTTGCGTTAGATCCTCGAAATATTAGATTGGGTCTTGCCACCGATGGATTCAATCCTTTCAAAGATCTTAGCTCTAAATATAGTTGTTGGCCAGTTATTTTAACTATATACAACTTGCCTCCGTCATCATGCATGTCGAAGGAAAATTTGATGTTGAGTTTATTAATCTCGGGACCAAAGCAGTCAGGTAATGACATAGATGTTTATTTGGCACCACTTATAGATGACTTAATATTGTTATGGAGTGATAGGGTTGAGATGTATGATGCAGTTGCGAAGTCTACATTTAACTTAAAAGCTATTTTGATGTGGACAATACATGACTTTCCTGTGTACGAAAATGCATCTGGATGGCCCGTCAAAGGAAAAATTGCATGTCCTATTTGTCGTGAACATACATGTTCAGTATGGTTGTCACATTGTACGAAGTTAGCATACATGGGACATAGAAGATTTCTCCCATTGAGTCATCCATTTCGCATGAAAAGGAATTGGTTTGATGGATATATTGAAAATGGCATTAGGCCAAAGATAAAAACTGGTGAAGAAGATTCCTATGAAGTTGATCAAATTGCAAATGATTGGGGCAAAAGTGGTAAGCGAAAGAGAAAGAAGAACATGACTCAATCCAATGTAACGTGGAAGAAAAAGTCAATATTTTTCAGGCTAACATATTGGAAGGTAACTCTCGTTATATCATTTCCTTTTTTAATACATCTAACTGCGTTTAGTATCTCATGAAACAAGTGATGTTTGATTTGCAGACTTTACTTATACGGTATAATTTGGATGTGATGCACGTGAAAAAGAATATTTGTGAGTATGGATCTGCTGTTATATACGTTGAATGAGTATAGACTGGTTATGTAAAAAGAATGAATATAGTTGTGT